ACCATGCAGGTGTATTTAAGTTACTTGGTAGAGAATAGAAACTGACAAAATGCAATGTGAAAAAACTTTTTAGAAAATATTGAACAAAATGAAAAATATCTTGGAAATCTGGTCTCTGAGAAACCTTTCAATAATAGGAAAGTCAACAGTGGTTAAACCTTTAGTATTTCTCATCTTACGTAGTGCATGTGTAAACTCTCCTACCAGCCCCCCCTCCCTCAATACTTAAAAATATGNAAACATTATTAAAAGCCTTTTTAAATCATTTAAACTGAACAAGAAAGGTCCAATTAGCTTGTTACTAAGGTAAATCACTTCCTTAGCAACGGTTGCTAAGCAACGCTTTGAAATTTTGGGCACTGCCCTTGAAAATGATCAGCATAGTCCAAAGAACATTTGTGCCAAGTTTCATGCTTTTTCCACCTTTTGAACAATTTTTGCACCAGTCATCTAGACTAAAAGTTGAATTACCCCAACTAAATCCACCTGTGTTGACTTGTTCTATTAAGAATGGCTAGAATTCTTGGCTCTCAGCAAATGATAACATTTCTTGTGCTCTAGGTTATATAACTGCCATTGCTACAACATAATAACACCTCTCTCACGTTGTTAAAAATGTGCATTTTGTGAGTTATTAATTTTTGGGATAAACTACCGGAATGTTTCATAAGTTGAAAAAAAATTGTTTCAAATTTCATTTTATTCAATCTCATAACAACATCCCTTTATATTTCAACTGATCATCATTAAACACTGTTTAGATAAAATGTCATTTTTATTTAGACATTCCTACTAGGAGCTTATTTTCAACCACTAACCCTATTTAAACTGAACAATTCTTATTACAGGCAGTTCAAATTTAGTTAATTCCCTGAGGAAGATGCTCTTATACAACACAGATATCAAATATTAGAGTCAATACAATATACAGTGTCAATACAGCTGTTGGTTGAAGAAAAAATGCCAGTACCTCTATTCTTATACCATAACACAGGTGATGAAATTCTCCTCTGAATAATTGTCACTTTTTCCCCCTTTACACAACTGTCCTTCAAGTTTCTTACTAATAGTGACAAAGTTGCACACACCTGCCCATGAAATTAGCGGGTGACTAAGTAAAAACATGCAAGTCAACAGAGATGCTGCACCAAGCCACCATAAGGCAACAGCATTCTATAGATCTACAGAATATGAAACTTTCTTTCAGCATTAATAAATAAGATCCACTTTAAGTAATATGAACAGGTGATGTTAGGGAAACAAATCTTTAAAAAAAATCAACAAAAAAAAAAAAAAAATCAAAAAATAAAAATTGCACATGACTAGTAACCTAACTGATTCAGGTAATGTAGAAAATCTTTTTCTGACTTGAGCTCTTTCAAGGTAACGTGGAATGAATGTCCAGACAATGAGGTCTTAAATAAATAAATAAATAAATAAATAAGTACTCACCTTAAAGTGGTCATATATATGATAAAAACAACTTTACTTTAGCAGACCACCAACTTAAGATGCATCCTCACATGATTTAAGACCAATTTCTACTCATGTTTCTTAATGAAATCAGTCCAAGCCCTTATAGTGTATTCTAAATGGGAAAACTATCACACTCTATTATCTGCTATAATCACGTGTAAAAATAGGCCATATGCCATGTGATAAGGAAAATACTAGAAATTAATAGTTCAAGGACAATAGTCATATAAAAATCTATTTCTCAAATTTTGAAGATTCAGCACTCAATCTATACACTAGAGGTATGTTTTAATTGATCCCTGCCATTTAAAAATTATAAAAACAATCTATTAGTAGACAAAAAGCGTTTTAGTAAACCTCACCTCAATATGCATAAATGAAGCAACAGATCTGGGTCACGTGGTACTGTGACGACAATGAGGATAAAGGTCAATGAGACTTAACTGAGCTGCATGCTGCAAACGGACAGAATAATTTTGGAAACTTGTGTTGAACGGAGTTGAGCAATTTTCTTTATGCCTCAGTGTGTTGCCGTAGGATTCACCAAAATTGCAGCACTCTTTGTCTGTGACGGTCTTCCGTGACTAACTTACTAACTTCGGTGACAATAGTTGCAATGCTCGCGATCTCGGTCACCTCAGGTGTTTTAGATCATATCAAAAACGATAGTCTTTTAGATTGACTGTCATCAGTTGGCAAGTTTACTAATTGCTGATGCATTTTAAAATGCATTGTAGTTGACCAAGAGCTTGTTAAAAATAAAACCTGTTAATTATGCACCGCTGCAATTCCCAAGCCAGGTAATAACAGGTATCAAACTCGTCTTGGTGAGCTTTCATATTTTTCAATATATATCATTTATTTCATGGGGTTATTTTATTGGTATTTGTAAATGACGTTAAATATCAATATTTAAACAATTAAGTTCAAACATGGTTGCAAACATTAATAAAAGAAATTGCTCTCAGGGTATCTTGAAGCATGTGTATGCCCAGGCTATACTTCCGAGGAAGAAAACGTGTTGAGGAAAAACAGGAAGAGCGTTATATTAAAAAAAAATGGGAACTGCTGTAATAAAATGGTTTGTAATCCCAATTCGTTTATGCTTTGAGGATTTGTTTCTGAAGATTATTTTATCTGAAATATTAACAAATTTAAAAGATTTATCATTTTATAACTTGAAACGCAAGTTCTGCGTCTGAACGCAAAACTTTTTGCAAATTTGTACGGAGTACGGAATGAACTGGAGACACTTGGCTTGTCATTAAGTTTACACGAAAATATGTGAGATAACTTTATACTGTCTTTGAAAAGGTAAAGATTGAAAAATAATTTTAGACAAACTTTGACGGAGGAAATATCTACAAAGAGTAAAGGGCTATTGCGCCAACATCTTGTTGAAAATTTTACACTGCAGTTCTATTTAAATAAGCTAAGGAACTAATTGCCAAATTTAGACTTTCAACACATAACAGGGGCGTAACCAGACCTACAAAAACAGTACGCACAGAATTTAAAAAATTACAAGCACGTACAGCAAAATGTAGACTTACGGAAAACATGACGGACAGCGTAATCACAGCAAATGTACCTCATATAGTAGCTTAATTTCCATTAATAATAAAATCATCATTTAAGTCAAAAATATTCTCGCGATTTAATAAATATTCTAATTTGCCCAGAATGGTATATTCATTTTAAAGGAGGCTAACTGAAATATAGTTTTATGATTTGTTTGTGAAAATTGCTAATGTCACCCTGTTAGTTTGGAGGTCTAAGCTGGATCAAGTCCGTGTTAAAATTCCTATGAAGCTGTGCAGGATAAATTCTTCCTTTCTTTCTCTAGCTCCTCGATAATTATTTAGATGATTTTATCTAGTACCCCCAGGTCTGCGGGAGCTGCTCTTTGAAACTAACGGACAGGTAGATTTTTACCTGAGATAAATATTGCCAGCAAGAGTTCGATACTCGCAAGACAAATTGAATGCCATTTAACCCTCTAATTAAGAGGTAAAGGAAGTTCCAGTTAGATGGATCATTAAGATAGGACTTGTAAAGGTAACGGGCATTGTTTACCTCAGTTTAATAAAAGTATGCAAGACGGGGTGTCAGCGGTTTAATAAAATAAATTGAATTTCACAAATAACATGGACCTCATATGCAATAATCAACAGTACCCTTAACTCATTCAAATGCAGTGTTTTATACAACTTGGGATAACCATAATTAAATGCTCGTTCAATAATTGACTAGACGGGAAACGGTTTTACACAGCTTCACAAGGATTTAGACCCCTTGGGTAAGAGATTTGAATGAGTATTAACTTTTATCAGAAGCCAGAAAAGTCATCTTACAGGAAGACAATGCAGCTCAGTTTGACAGCTAAACACGCTCTGTTCTCCAGTGTCACGATTGTCGTCATCGGACCACGTGCCCACGTAGCTCATTAACTCCCAGGCCAAGCAAACAGGACGTTTTTTAAAGCCAAAAATTTACAAAATGAGCTTTTACTTTGTGTATTTGGATAAAGATATCGTTAGTTGGGCATGTTTTCTGAAGAATATGCTCCGTTCAGGCCTTTCCGACGGTATGACGCAAATCCTTTCAACATGCAAGAGAAATGAAAGCTGGTGTAAAACAAAGCTTAGAAATGGCTGAGTACTTGTAGCGTTTTTATTTATCAATGTTGGTGTATCTGTGTATTTGTTATTGAACATGATCTCTCCAACAGCTTAAAACCAATTTTGGTGATTTTTTTAGGATACAGTTACTCAGGTTGGAAAGAATTTAAACTCAAATATTTGACTGAATCTGGGTCTTTAATCTTTTCCAAAGTTCAAACAAGTATAATTATACCTCCCCCCACCCCACCAAAGAAGCAGCGGTATATTGCTTATCATGTCGGTCGGTCCATGTATGTGTTACAAGACCTTGTTTGACTACTAAATAGAGAACGATTAGGTCTACAGTCCTTATATTTGGTAGGGAGGCTCATCAACCCATGCAGAAGATACCTACTGATTTTGAGATCAGTATGAAAGGCTGCATTCACAACATAACTAGTTTGCTGTTCAAATATGGTGACTCACTGAAAAGTTTGCCATCTAATCCCCTTATTGACACTGAATAGAATCTCTGCAGGGATTACACAACAAGCCTCCAATTGGGACAGCCATATCTGATCTGCAGACTAGTAGGTCCACTGCTGTGAATGCAGCCTAAGGCTCTATTCCCATAGATTTTAGATCGATCTATCCCCACGGGGAGTCTCACTAGATTACTTTCAGATAATCCGACTTAAATGTCCGTCCTGCCTACTACAAGCTGTAAGGGGATAATTAACTTTCGCGTCCGCCCGGCTGACAGCTATTTAGCGTGAACCCCCAGGGAGTTAGGTCGATCTAAAGTAGGTCGATCTAACCTATGGAAATGGGGTGTAAGTAGCATCTCCCTTTTTAACATGTCTGAAGCACAATTTAACAAAACCCTCCCATGGTTTGACATACACACAATGGCCAACTTACATTTCCAGGTAAATTCACCAGGTCTGTGAACAAGCCTGCAAAGCCTTTGTCCAGAAGATTCCTAAAAAATAATTTAAAGAACAATATAAATAAGGAACCTGGCTTCATCAGAAAATATTCTTAAACATCTTTCTAATGACGCATTAAACAGCAATGATGTTGACGGGCCCATTAGTGTTGCTTCCTGCTTTGTTGGGATTTCTTAAGGTGATACAGACATGGTTAGATAAAATCTCCTTCATAACTGACTTTAAATACATATTTTGGATAAGAGATAAAATTTCAGCCTTCACTGATTTAATTCCTTTCCATTTAAAAAAAATGTCATTTTACAAATGGGGTGATAGACTGCATTCAGATTCAGACATTGTACCAGCTGGGTCGGTCCAACTCTGCGGGAGGATTCTCACTAAAAGTGCTTAACTGTCATCGGCTGAATTGTTTGACATGCCTCCTTGAGCAGCTAGGGGAAAATTAATTTTGTGTGTCCTTAACTGGTACCCTCTACCACGGTGGTAGATATTATTATATTATTATATGGAAGCAATTAAACCTGCACGCACACAGATGGCATTGTACCCGCTCTGTAGGGAGCTACTCTGAAATATCTAATAAACGTACCGGTACGTTATTTAATTTTTCAAATTTCTTCCCTCCGGTACGCTCCATTTGACCCAGTACGCTTATTAATTTTTCAAAAATCTTCCACTCGGTATGTATATTAAATACCTATCGTACCGGTGGGAAATTATACAAGTCAAGTTTTTTTATTTTCTTAAATTGACGTGTAATGAGAAGAAATACGGGTACCGGTGCAGCTACTGTTCGACATACAGCACTGGAAAGTAGGTCAAGCAAAAGTCGCTGTCTAAAGACAACAATACATGCGTAATCTGATTTCCTTTCCTATAAATAGAAGCGCTTTCCCTTCAATAGTGACAACTACTCATGTAATGTCGCAAGGTGATAGGATCATATTTATAGCTAAGGAGGTCATTTCAAGTGCAGCAAAGAAATTGTGTCTGTTTTCAAACGTCAATTATTTCATGCCGATTTATGATTTAAAAAATGTTAAATCACAATTCTATGTAAGATAAACCCTTAGGAGTTTATAGGTATGCAAAATGAACCTTATATCTGAGAATAAATTTACTTTGAATAACGTCTCCGTATGGCTATCGGAGGCGGCTTAGGTGCGATATATCTGGGTCTTTGGACCCTGACGATTATGAAATTTAACTCATGGCAAATATTTGTTTTTGAAAATAAATTAGATATCCCGTTTTTAAGATAAATTATAATGCTGAGTGAATTTTACCTGGTGAAAGTTTTTTTTTTTTTTTTTTTTTTTTTTTTTTTTTTTTTTTTTA